ACCTGATAATACGCGACTGCGAGTTTTTTTGAACGGCTTCAAAATCTTTGATATAGATCAACTCATTCTTGCACAAATATTCAGATTTGGGGTTATTTTGGTCTAAAAAATTGGACGTAAGGTTTAGCCGTTTCTTTATAAGATATAACTTGACACTCGTTAAACATTAATTTCTTTTGATTTATATTTATAAATTATTAAAGCAGCTAAAATGTGGTTTAACCCACTGGCTCTGAAGTGGACACTCAGATGTAGTACGGAAAATATGTGTCAGGGAAATATCCATACCGAGCCTGCAGAAGGGACTGAAATTGTAATCCCAGAGAGGTGTTGGACAGCGTATTTCTTTTCCTGAGCCATGGGATAACAACAACATTCTCAAAACTTTAGCATCGTGGACCACACATTAGCTGAGTTTTCACTTTACTTAAATAGCAATTTTGGAAAATGAGGCTGGGTGGAAAGCATGGAGCAAATTCTTTCTACACTGTGGGCACGGATATATTCTGGAACACACATTACAACTTGGGGGATTTTTTTGCAAGCAGACACGTGTGCTTGTAGTTTTTCAATGTTTTCTACTCATTCAAGGATTTAACCAAATGGAAGATGTTTCCACTGACAGGGCAGGACTTCACCATCCTTTCCAACAGAAGTGCTGTTTGGCAGTTTGTGGTATCCTTCAATCAGTAGACATGAACCATTCCATACAAAAATCTTGATCATAAGGTTAATGAAATAACATGAGGAAAAATCATTAAAAAAGTGGACATGGAAAGGACCCACAATGATGGCAAAAACAGACGTTTGGCAAGTATCACTAAATACACACATACCCAATGAGCTTACAACCTCCAATCAGCAGTTACTGTTAGTAATTCGTAAGTGCTATGGTAAATATTTTTTAAATTTTTTTAATTATTTGGCTAAGTCTGTTTTCGCCTTATGATAGGTCAATTTGCCGTCCATATTACTTACTGTACGGGCCAAACTTTCAAAAGTGAATGCTCATTTTGGAGCTCGAAGAAATGATTAAAGGAATGTTATCATATGTCTGAAAATCCTGTAGACTTGGAAGTGACTTCATCCTCCCAAATCTTAACTTGTGTCTATTTGAGAACGAAGCTGATGAAGAAACTGGATCGTCATCTAACCCAAGAAGAGGATTCTAGTCGGTGTTTGAAAATTTTATCACAGACCACAACGAAGAAGATAAGAATGAACTGTCAGGGATCCGAGACATTTTGCTGAAGAAAGACGAGCAGTCGTTCAACAATGATAACAAACTTAAGCTTACGTTGACAAGCTTTTTTGCCATTGACTTTGGTTTTTCAAAGACTGAACGAAAGAAAGATGGAAGCAACTTTGAGCTAAACACAGTGTCCAGTTTTCAAAATACAAGAGCGTCACATGGTGAGCTAAAACTTACAGTGCTCATAGTTTGCATGTTTACACTTTTATGGAAAGCCATTGTAAAGTGCTATTGTTTTCCTGAGCCAATAAGAAATTTCTTTTTTGACACCTGTCAAATGACAGTCAAAAAGCATAACGAACACTTGTTTCAAGTTCCCCCAAACAGGAAGCCACATAATAAACAATTTATCAGCCTCGTTTTCTCGGTCCATATTGTAAATATTACAGATCCTTGTTTTTTTCGGCAAATGAGAGGCAAATGAGAGATACATATTAACTGCATGCTTTCAAAATGTGTATGCAGTTATGGCCACCCATTGCGGTGATTAGGTTTGCTCAATGGAAATTAAAATAATTAGAGATAAAAGTTTATATACAGTATTTCTCAAACCAACAATATTCCCTCAACCCAATACCTCTACTGAATCAAACAATGGTCATGCAGATCCATGTTACTGAAAGGCTATCAAAATATTATATAACTGTTAATGTTAGTAAAATAAATTAAAATACAAAGAAAATAGTGTAAGTACAAAACAATGAAATTCCTACAGCTATACTTGTTCAAATTTCAGAAAGGATACGTCCAAAACAGTAAGTATGTCTTGAATGTAGTAATGAAAGTCAGCAGTTAAGGAGAACAACAAAATAATAAATAATACAGTAATGTTAGTGATGATGAGGTACAGGATACCCAATTTAACCTGCTTTCTGCAGCATAGGTTGGGGGGATTCGGTTTAAGGAATTTTTGGGTGGGGATGTGTGTGGCTGAGGTCCTAAAACCTATATTTTTGCTACCCTACACTCTAAGCTAAAGTCTGAAAATCTCTCCCAAGTCTAGAGTTGCTATTTTCCAGACATTACTGAGGTCACAAGTACAGTCCAGCCAAAACAGAAGCTTATTGAGGGGGACATTGGGGGGTATCCAATACCTCAATATCATGAGAAAAATAGGCAAATACCGAAATAACGTGTTGAAAATCAAGGAAGTACTGATACCGCATTTATGATCGATCACGCATACTTAAAGTTGTATCCACCTTGCGCGTTTGTTTATCTCACGCATGTATACAACAGAAATCAACCTCAGAAAATGTGGGAAGACCTCGAATTGATTGGTACACTGATCGAAAAGCCCAGTCATTGGATGTCCTACCAATTTCATCATAGAGTAATAATTGTCAGAAATTGTGTAATCATTTACCGTTAAAGCAAAAGTCTTCCAAATATTGACTTACATTAGACAGGAGAGGCCAAATGAATGGTATGGCAATATCATGAAGGATCTTCTTTTACTGAATACCGTTAGCCAGAAGGATGAAAAACCGCATACCGCAAAACTGGATGATACCACAATACCGCACATTAAAATCAAAACTACTGATCAGAAATAACGCTTGAAAAACGCTCAATACCACAATACCATAAATCCCCATGTCCATTGAGCTGTGGGTAAGCCAATTAATAATTTTTTGAGTGTCAATCCCCAGTTTTCCTAGTCTAGATTAAAGTATTCAACTAACTCCTAGAAATGACACCCTATTCAAGACTCAAACACTCTGATTTCTATATTATCCTTTCCAAGACTAAACTGCTTGAAATCCCCTTTCCTACACAGCAGCACATTCCTATATAGCCCATGTAGGGCAGTACCCCCTCCCCCCGGGAACAGACTAGGGTTATTACTGCTCTTGTTAATCTAGTGCAGGGTTACTAGCCCATAGGTTTCCAAAAGCAATGTCAAACTGAGTTCCATGCAATGGAAAATTAAGGTGCCCCTAAATATACCTTTGTTACTAAAATTATTGGGATTTTTACATTTTTGTTTCATGAAGATTAACAATAAAAAAAACAGCTAAGGATACAAATATTCCACCAAAGATTCCTGAAGTACTAAGATCCCACCAAGAGATGAAAAATTTTCTCCAATGTGTACCAGCTTTTAAGCAAATCAAGATCTGAAAAAGAAAGTACAAGATTGTTAGATGTAGCTATCAGTGTATACTCCTTTTGTTCAGACTATGACAATTCCAAAAGAACAACTAAAAACTCCTACTCCCTTGTCATGGTCTTGAGTTATCCAAGTTCGAGTTATGACTGAAAAGTGGGGTGAAATCCAAGGGAAATTGGACTTATGGTAGTTTGAGTTAGCAGGGAGTTTGAGTTAGTGGGGTTCTACTGTGTTGTTTCACACGGGAAGAGCCCATCAGACATGGGAAAACTAAAGAACAAACAGCAACAGTAATTTTATTAGTTTGTGATTTTGTGGCTTGCTCTGACACATGTCGTGATCTTCACTGTGATTGGTCAAAACACAACACACATTGCTAAATATTTCAGGTGTTCCAGTTTTATTAGTTTGACAGTAACTGAATTCACTGGCTAAATCCAGTGTTAATAACAAAAAAGGTTCACACAGATCTTAGCTCAGTGTACAGAACCTTTTCCTAGTAAATGTTACAGGTCAAATTTCACTTAAGGTCAATTTTTTAAGGAAGTTGACTCTCAGTTTCCTTTATCGCCTAGCCCTAAGAGACAAAGGAAATTGAGAATTAACTTAGTTTAGAAAAATTCAACCTGAAATTAAATTTGACCTGTAACATAAACGTTATTTCCCAGTCCTGATTCACATGTTATAATAAGGGCCGAATCGCACTAGAGCCAGACAAATCAAAAATTGTTTATTTTATGTCAAAAATCTGTCAACGCTTGACTTGTCCTAATGCGATCGCGTATTTTCGAGTTAGCCAAATATTCCGAAGGACAGCCAAACTTCAAAGGCTGCGATGTCCTGCTCCGAGGCAGGACAAATGGATCAAACAACCGAGAATACAATAGCTGGTGTTTGTTTTTTAATTAAGACGTCAAAAATGATGAGTACAACGTGATCTTTGGTTTTCGCGCGTTCTTCACTTTGCAAGATGTCGGACCAAAACAGCCCGCCAAACAGCTTTCCATTTTGCTATCCTCCGGGTTATTTCTTCCAAAACTTTTATGATTCGTATCCATATCGGAATTCCACGACCTCGATGCCCCATGCTACTACCAGTAGTTCTCCGCCAGGACAGAGGAGTAGCAGTCCTCAGTCGGGAAGTAGTGCTAGTGGAACTAGCACTCCGACATGCGAGATTGCCAGCACTTCCACTGAAGGAAACACGAAGCAGGACAAGAGACAGGGCAAGACAACGCAAGACCGATGGACAGAGAACCAGGTGAAATACCTTGTGGATCTGTGGGAGGCGAATATATCAAGGTTGGAGAGCCAACAGTCGAGGAAAGTGTGGGGTGAAATCGCCACTAAAATAAACGAGCAATTCGACCTAGCGCGCCTTCCAAGTCAGTGCGAGAGAAAAATTAAGCACTTAAAAAAGAAGTACAAAGAGGCCAAGGACTGGAATCGATCGCAGACGGGAGGAAATAATGAAACCTGCGAACATTTTGATGTCTTTGACCGCGTGCTCGGAGGCAGGGATGTTGTTACTCTGAAGCACGTGCGGGAAACTGCAAATGCAGCAGCGAAAAATAAGGAGAAATTGCCTGACTCGCCTGCTGGTGACGAGGAGGAGGGATATACCTCGGATCAGGCAGAGGAAGCCCTTCAAGCAATGGGAATCAAAGTCAAAAGCAGGAGCGAGAGGAAGAAGGGAAAAGGAAAGGGAAAAGGGCGCAAGAGAAGCCTGGAGAACGACGATTCTGAGGATTTTGCTAGATTTACCGAGAGAGTGGAGCGCCAGGGTGATAGATTGGCAAATGCTGTAGAGCAAATGCAAGAAATGCAACGAGAGCAAACTCAGGCCATGACTGGTTTCCTCGCTGCTCTGACCAAGGCTATAGAAAAAAATTAAAGGCAACAGTTTTCGTTTATCCTTATTCACTTATCCTGCTTTGTAAACAATTACTCTGAAACTGCAAAGAGACAGTAGTTCAAAGCAATGCTATATTCTAGCGTTTATAAGTTTTCGTTCCAGTTTTTTTACAAAGTCTATATGATCAAGAAAACACGAACAGAACGAAAATAGCTCAAAACAATATGTTATTGTTAAGAGATCAATGATAAATAAAATCACATGGCAATGTACTCTTTTAGTAGTTCTCTGATATCGTCGCCATCCCTCAAAACATTTACATCATTATCATTTCCTCCGTCGTCGTCGCCATCATCCCATTCCCATTCATCGCCGGCATTAATGCAGAAATTGTGTAAAACAGCACATGCTACAACTGTATCACTCACAGAACTAACCCCGCTTTCGATTTGCTTTGTCAAAATACGCCAACGACTTTTCAGAATTCCAAAGGCGCACTCCACGGAAACTCTGGCCGAGGAAAGTTCCTCATTAAATGCAATTTCGTCGGGATCTTGCGTTCCTTCAGGGTAAACTTTTTGTAACCAGGGAGCCAAAAAATAAGCGCTATCGGCCACCAAATATGGACCAATCTCTCGGCCGAGAACATTCATAGTAGGACCAGTCAATAATTCTTGGTTCTCGCATCGTCTGTAAAGGCGACTGTTCCGTAACACGCGTGCATCGTGCAGGGATCCTGGAAAGCCAGCTGCTACATCTAGGAATCTTTTCTTGCCATCAGCCACGGCTTGGACGATTATATCGTAGCGCTGGAATCGACTGAAGTAGTCGACTCTGCTGTCAGTAGGGGCTTTGATCGTGACATGTGTGCAATCAATTGCACCAGCCACATTTGGAAGATCAGAAAGCTCTTCGAAAGTTTCCCTCGTTTCAACAACTTGAGCTTCAGTTTCAGGGAATTTGATATAATCATGTTTTATAGAAACCAGTCCTGTAACGACGTCTTCGACGGCCTCGATTACTGTCGTTGTCCCAACGTTAAAACCAGGCCCAATCGAAACGTATGTTCCTCCATGAGCTAAGCGCGTGAGCCCAATTGCCAATACCTTTTCTGGCTCAATACACCTTCTAAAACGAGTGTTTTGTCTTGTGATGTATGGGCGAAGGACATCCAAAAGCAAACGAAAAGTAGCTCTTCTCATTCGAAGCTGTTTCCTGAAATATTCGTCTGGGATTCTTGGGTCATTATAATGAATATCAAACCATGAATCGGCGGGTCGAGGGAGAACCCAAAAGTACGGATGTCCACGCCGATTTCGTCTTCGCCTTCGAATCTCGAACAATCTCAGAAAAGCTCTCCCCTCTAGTTGAAATTGAGCAAGAGACAAAATTATCAGCATCATCCTCAGCTGAGCGTACATCTGAAATTGTAGGACAAATGCTGCAGCTACAAAAAGCAGAAAACGTCTTGGGATCATGTTGTTATGAAATATGATTTCCCGCCAAGTATTGGATAATGGAAAGGTCACAAGTGTGACGAAATGTAAACATTTCGGATTTGTCCAACGTAAACAAAACGTTAGTGCGATGGAGCGTGGACAACAGACAAATTGTCAGCGGACAAACTTAAAGCCAAATCCTGTGGAGTTTGCCCCGGGACATTCGAAATGTCTGGCTCTAGTGCGATTCGGCCCTAAGTGTACATTCAATGGCCCATCAGTCAGAACATAGCACAGGAGATATATAGATGAATACTTATTATTAAAAATTGCTATCACAGTATTATGTTTATTCCTTGAGTTCTATGGGTAAATTATCTCATCTAGGGTACATTAATTTTATAATCACTCACATTTCCACAGAGTGTCAGGGGTACCCAACAAGAATATAGTTCAAAACCACTTAAACATAGCATTGTTAAACGTATTTTAGTATTTAAATGGTAATATAGGCATATGTTTATCCCCTAAAATTTTTTTATCTGCTCGGACTTCCTAGCTGAAAGTCTAGCGATCCGAAAATTACAGGGATCAAAACTTACCTTTTCGAAAATTTCAGCCACAAAAAAGGCTCCCGAAAATTCTAGGTGACCTTAGAGTAAAAATCCATCAAAAATGGGCAATTATACCATTTTTAGATGTTTGGAAATCCTAGGAAAGGCAGGCAACAAGGAATTTTACAACATTCTAAAAATTCTAGATCTTAAATCGTCTTCCGAACAGATATTTTTCGAAAATTGACATTGGGTGCCCCTGCAGTGTGGAAGTTGTTGTTGAGCTACACAGAGCCAAAGGTTAACTGGGTTTGGCCTTGCATTCATTGACAAAAATGTTGAATTTGCATCAAGTTTAATGTACATGTACTGTGTAGTGCACAGCTCTTATTCCATTGGATCTTTAATAGCATGCAGCTTTATGGTTTTAGGGTTAGGGTCCAATTGTTGCTGTTGTTTGTTTATTGTTTTCTCAGCAATCCTGTGAGGTCTTCAAAGAGCCGTGTACAGCCCTACATGTACCCCATAAATGTTAACTAAACTTCTAGACAAGTATACAGAGTAAGCCAGTAACTTACAGACATAAACAAGGAAGCTATAAAATAAAAGATGAAGCCTTTAAGAGCTGAGAGTCCAAGAATTCCAGCAGAGATTCCAGCCATTGATGCCAATGATGTCCGACTTTCAAAAAATAATAAAAAAAAAAGACAGGAACTTTATATAACTGAAATTAAAACAAACTGAATTCACTTTAATGTCCAAGGTCTATACTATAAGGGCAATGGGGAAAGAGCACTTTTTATAGCCATGGCCTGCAGTGTTTGTTCTTTTTTAGACTATCTTTCCAAATCAGCTGTTTGTTTCTGTTGGAAATTACATTACCTTATTCAGAGTTTTCAAAATAAGCCATTAGCTGTCGCATTCCATGTCAATTTTCTATTTGCAATGTCACTGTAAGTGTTGCAAATTCTAAAAACTTAAAACTAGAAATAGGTGCCAGCAACTCTTACTTCAAAAGTCGCAACTATGAAACCTTGCCAAAGCACTACTAATGCATGATATTAATAATTTTTGTCATAAAAAGTAACATTTGATCAACCATTATGAGTGACTACTTCGCCCAACTCTGATGGTGGACAGTTAAAAATTAACTTACCAAAAGTCAATAATGCTATTGTTTGCCATAATAGAAAATGGACTGAAGGCTTCTTCCTTTCCTGCATAAGCAACAATGACAGTAATGCAAGCTTGGTGTGAATTTTGAATAGTTATATAGGGTAGCATGAAACCCATGATGAAAGGCAGCTAAATTGCAGAGTACCCTGCAACTCTACCTGTAATTTGGCATAGCCATTAAAAATGGCTATGACATTAAGGCAAACATATTATGTTTATGGCTCATTCTCAAAGCATTAATTATTTGAGACAGTGAAAGACAAAACGGAAACTAACAAAAACTGTTCGACTGGAAAAAATGCACAGATAACAAATGGTTTATGAACGGTCTACAAAGAGTTTGAACGGTCAGATCAATAAATTATTCGAACAGATAGGAAAACAGTTTTGAACGGATGCTGATTTTTTTCGAATGGATAGGTAAACTATTTGAACAGATGCTAATTTTTTTTTAACAGAGACCCAACCCGTCGAATGCAGAGGAGCTCTAGTTCAATCAGTTTCTAATTTTTTTTGAACGGATACGCAAACCATTCGAACAGATGCATAAAATTGTTGCATGGTTTGGTAAATCGTTCGAAGGGATTTGTTAAAGAAACTGATAAACTGTCTGCAAAATAATCACCATAGTATTTTGATTTCTGTCTCATCACTGGGCAACATAATGACGGCTTTTTAATCTCGTTCACTTGTGAAAATAATTAAGGTACCTACTTTGCTAAAATTCATGTTCAACTTTTCAATTCGCTTTTCGTCTTATCATATAAGTAATACATTTGAAACATCTTTCACTCCCTGTAGCTAGGGAGGATGGGTATTCTGCCATCACCCCTGAAATTCAGCTTTGACTGTTTCCAACTTTGAACAATGAGCATTGAGGTTTGTTTGTAAATGGTAAGTGTAAAAGGCAGACTTCAGACTATTGTTTTCCCCATACAAATGAGTATGTGACAACAATAGTCCCATTGTTTTCTAACCCTAAAAACAGTAGTCTGCAGTCAGTCTGCAGTCTGCATTTTACACAGCCCCGTTTAAAAAAAAACAGTGGTTTTGAATTGGTGAGGAGTGAAACACAAAGATTTAGTATTATCAACTGAGTGAATAAAGTAAATTGGCCACTATCAAGGGATTGAAAAGCTGAAATTTTGATCTATAGATCTTCGTTAAAGCTAATGGCGACCTAAATATCAGCTTCACAGTCTCTCCATGGTGAGCAATTTAGGTTATCAACTGTACTCAGTTGATAAAATCAAAGTTTTAGCTCATGTTAGGTGTATGAGCCTATATTAAACCTTCACTAGTGAATTAAATAAAAGAAAACAAAGAATTCAACGCAACGTCCACAACACAGGGAAATAACAGGTACAAACCAAAGAAAATCTCAATTAACTGCGGTAAATCCTTTGGGATTCCAAAGCGGGTGTTACTAAAACGAAGACCCAGAAACGAAGACCTAAGACCTAAGACCCCTTGGACTAAAACGAAGACCCTATGGACTAAAACGAAGACCCTATGGACTAAAACGAAGACCCCATGGACTAAAACGAAGACCCTATGGACTAAAACGAAGACCCTATGGACTAAAACGAAGACCCTATGGACTAAAACGAAGACCCCATGGACTAA